CAAGACAAGGACTAAACCAGTTGAGGATGGATTAGATGAGAGTGATAGAGCTTTATTTATTTATTGTAAAGTTGTAAGATTTTGGGAGCTATTTTTATAAGAAAAGTTTATTTTATGCTTCGGCTTCCTTTTTATTTTTATTTTATTTCACTCACGCACCGGGCGCGGGGTTTCCACCTACCCCCGGGTCCGGGGCGTGACAATTCTTTCTCTCCACAACACCATTTTGCTGAGGTGTAATAGGTGCAAAGAACTCATGCTTAATTCCCATCTCTTCACAAAATTTAGAAACTGAGAATTCTCAAACTCAGAACCATGGTCTGTTCTAATTCTAACAAGAGGCAGATGACTAGTCATCTTCTCTTTTTGCAAAAGATGACAAACAAACTTAAACCTTTGAAAAGTTTTAGATTTCTCACTTAAGAATGAGACCCAAGTGAACCTAGAGAAATTATCAACCATGACAAGAATATATTTCTTTCCACCAAGGGACAAGGTTTGGATAAGACCAACAAGGTTCATGTGAACAAGTTCTAGGCTTACTTTTGTTTGAATATGTTTGACCTTCTTGTGTGACACTCTAACTTGCTTGCCCAATTGACATCCTTCACAAACATGTTGATCAGATTTGTCAAGTTTTGGTAGACCGCTCACTAACTCTCTCTTTGACAATTTATGCAAGTTTCTAAAGTTTATATGTCCAAGCCTTTGATGCCACAAGACACTTGTTTCATTCACAACCTTGTTGCAAACTACTTCTTTTGCATCATTGACACCATCAATGCAATAGCAATTGTCCCGAGACCTTGCTACGCTCATAATCTCATTGCCACATTTTCCAATGATTTTACAGCCATGCTTAGAGAATCTAACTTCTACTACCCCTATCATCAGACAACTGACTCACACTAATGAGATTAGATGGGAGACCCTCAACAAATCTAACATTCTTAAGCTCGGGTAATCCAGGGATACAAACAGTACCTTTTCCAACAACTTGAGACTTGTGACCTCCACCAAATGTCACAGTACCTCCATCAAAAGGGCTGAGAGATGAGAACACACTCTTATCACCAGACATGTGTTTGGAACAACCACTGTCAAAGTACCAAGAGTTGGTGTTTGAAGCAGCAAAAGCATTTAGCACAACAAGACATTTGGTATGACCTTTTGCAATCCAAGTAGACTTAGGCACAATGGTTGAACTCATTTTAAGGGAGACAAGTTTGGCAATCTTAGTTACTTCATTTAGCAAATGATCAACCTGATCTTGCAAAGATTTGGGATTCCTTCTAGATTTTGAAGATAATTTTCTAGTCTTATCTTTTTTGTACATATGACAGACTGGTCGAATATGACCAGTCAACCCACACCTGTGACAAGTTGGAACAAACTTAGGTTTCTTGTCTACCTGCTGAACATTAAGAGGTGCAATGGCTGGAGTTTTTGACTTGACAAACTTAGTGGTAGAGCTAGACGAACTAGAATCAAAATGATTAAATCCAAGACCACCTTTGTCCCCATGAAGTTTTCCCATATTCAACATTTTGTCAATTTTTGAGGCTCCAATGGTCATAGATATAACCTTACTTTTTGCTTCATTCAATTCACCTAGGAGCTGTTGTTTGAGTTTTGAAAACCAATGTTACTCTCCTTGAGCACATTAACTTGATTTTCAAGATTACTCCTAATTGACACAAGTGCAACAATTTCTTTTTCTAGAGACTCAAATTTGTCACTCAACTCCTTTTTGGTTTCTTTTAAGATGAGAATTTCATGTTGAAGATCTCGGTTATTGGCCTCAAGTTTGAGACATTCTTCTTTGAAGGAAAATGTCTCTTTGAACAAGCAATCATATTTTCTTCCTAATGACTCGTATGACAAGTCATCTAACTCAGAATCAGATTCATCAGACACCAGCTGCACAGAGGCAACAAAGGCAACTTGTTGGTCATCATCATCAAAGGAAGATGAATCCTCTTGAGATACTTCACTTTCACTCTCACTCCAGCTCACTTTCATGGCTTTGTCCTTTCCTTTGGAGTATTTTTTCTGATTGTTTGCACAGTTGGTAGCATAGTGCCCAATGCCTCCACAAGTGAAGCACTTGACTGATTTTATAAAATCTTTAGTGAAAGGTTTGACATCCTTGTTCCTCTCATTAGACCGATCAGTTGATGGTCTAAATTGTCTCTCACTACCAGAGCTGCCCTCTCTAGCAAACTTTCCTTTATCCTTAAGAATTCTCCTAAATTTTGTGACAAACAAACCCATCTCATCCTAAAAAACTGAGGATTTATCACCACCTTTCAGAGATGAATCATATACTCCTTAAAGTGCAATATTTTTTGATTTTTTAGTGTCATTTTCTTCCATATTCAACTCCATCTCATAGGTTTTCAATTTTCATACAAGCTTGCCAAGCTTAATTTCATTTAAGTTTTGGACCTCCATGATTGCGGCTTTCTTTGCTTTAAACCTAGATGGCAGAACACGAAGGATTTTCTGAACAACAAAAAGCTCTTCAATAGGTTGACCAAGACTCATGGCTTCATTTGTGATCATTTCAACTCTCCCATAGAACTCAGAAATAGACTCAGTTTCAGACATCCTAAGTTCTTCAAATTGTGCAAGCACCATATGTAGTTTTAGGGTTCTAACTTGGTCATCCTCTTCATGAACCACTCTTAGTTTATCCCAAGCCTGTTTAGCATTAGGGATGTGTTGTATATGTGAAAACTATGTGCTAGACAAGGCTGTAACTAAGGCATTTCTGGCCTTCTTGTTTGAATATGCAGCAAACACCTCAGCTTCAGTCCATTCCAACCTAGGCTTGCGGACAACTTTACTCTCAACAGTCTTGACTGGAGCAACCCACTCTTTTGTGAGATACTCACTTGCATACTTATCAAGGGCATCAAGGAATATCTCAAATTTTTCTCTCCATGCAGCATAGTTGTTTCCGTCAAAGTAAGGAGGAGAGTTGCAAAATCCAGCAACTTGATCCCTTTCCATAGTGAGCACACCTAAACACCAAAACAAATCCTAAGATCTCTCTATTTGTGTTAAAAGCTGACACTTGAAGCTTAGTTCTTCATGGCAATGGCAGCTCCTTCTCCAGCTCGTTCATCCCATGGCACTAGCTTGCAAGCTCTAACTCAAACAGAAACCAAATTTGGATTCAAAGGAGAATGACTAATTTCTTCAAGAAACCATACTCTTGAAGAAATCAGTCTTGAATCTGACCTAGATATAAATGAGAGAGTGTTTGATCTAGCAAGATGATGTTTTCATATTTCAAATGCAGTTTTTCAAAAGGAAACCATTTGGAAAACTCAAGGATGAAAAATATGAAGGTAGCTCTTGAGGAAGAAGCGATAGTTTCCAAGGAAACTTTCCAAAACTTCCTACAAAAGTGACGGCTGCCAAATGAGGAATTGGTTTGCCTTTACACCAAAATTCCTAGGTTAGAATCATACAATGGCAGCTCATAATTTTGCAAAATAAGACAAAAATATATGGGTAGGATCCAGCTGGAACAGTGAGCTGGAATTCCTACTAAGGCAGAGGTTGACTAGTCATACGAAGGAAGGATGACTAGTCATAATCTTCAGAAGTTAGAAAATGCAATGCAAAATTTACCTTTTGTCAAACCTATTGTTGTCCATCATAATGTATCCAATTAAGCATACCTAGAGATGTAATTCTTAATCTAGACTAGAGCTTGAGAAATTACAATGATTGTCCTATTACAAAATTGTCAAGAGAAGCCAAAAGAAATACTCAAAATGCATACATTAACAAGCACCGTATTCATTGATTTTGTAGGACACAATTGGATGCGGAAACGTTTTTCGATTTGTCTAATTTGTTTCAAGGATGATATATGAATGAAGACTTGAAACATAGATGGTTGAAAAAACAAATCGTGGGGTACCCTAAAGGGTGTCCCTTAAAATAAATTATTTGAGGGATCCCTCAATGTAAGGGGACTAAATATATAAGGTGTTTCCTTGTATATATATACATGCCTTACAGGTAATAGTTTTTTTCTTGAGTTTTCCAAAGCAATTTTTATGGTGTATTATTTCAATATACTTAAGTGTGAGTATACGTGTTGTGGTTGTGGAGGTATGATTTTCTTTTCCCTTTTTTTTTTTTTTGGTAACCTTTTAGATAGGTACGTTTTAAAGATCCATACCAAAGATATTATATGAGGCTTGCAGAACTGACTGTTCTTGCAGATAGAGGCTTGCAGAATTGCAATGTCCTTGAAACAAAATTTCACCCCTACTAAGTGCTTATAGTTTTGCAGGCATCTATCCCACCAAGATACAACTATCTAAATCAAAGTCCCAGTACTGGCAAAATCTATGTGTTTATCGCTTAGGCTTATACATGAATATGATATGAAGTTGTCTACGAATTTGATGTATATATCTCTATAAGAGAACATATGTATTTGTAGAGTGCCTGTATCTCACAAAAGACACAACCCAATCAGATAATGTTTTAAAGATAACGTTTTAAAGACATTATCTAATATTTAATCTAATTAACTAGGTTTAATCTAAATCACAGAGCCCAAGGCTCAATGCCCATCTTTTGATTAATTAAGTATATATTAATTAATCATTGACCCAACTAATTAGGCATTGACCCAAAGGCCAAACTCACAAGCCACTCAATTGGGCCACTTACATAACCTAACCCAAACTAATCTATTTCCAAGAGTCATTCTATAGTGAGGGCCTAATGTAATATCCCACATCGACCAACGGAGAGGGGGGTGATGTGCCTTATATGTGCATACCCTCATCCATCTAGCACGAGGCCTTTTGGGAGCTCACTGGCTTCGGAGTCGTAGGAACTCCGAAGTTAAGCGAGTTGAGGGCCAGAGCAATCCCAGGATGGGTGACCCACTGGGAAGTTAGTCGTGAGCTCCCAGAAACAAAACCGTGAGGACCAGAGAGAGGAGGTCAAAGCGGACAATATCATGCTACGGCGGAGCCGATCCCGGGATGTGACACCTAATATATGGCCCTTAGGTAAGGCCCTATATATCTTTTATCTATTGGATCAAATTGGTTAACTTGATCCAATGATTACGAGATAGGGCCTCACATAAGGGCCATATATAAGGCGCTCATTGTAGAATTTTTGCTACTTCCAAGTGGAGGTCTTACAATGTGGGACTAATTTCAACTCAAATATGCTTGCAATGCCTTGCAAAGCCAACAAACAGTACATTGAAATTATTCAATACATTATTGACCAATAAAACATTAACATCACAAAGACTGCCATGAATAATCTGGCCGAAAGAAACATAATAGAACAATTACACAACCTGTACTCCACATTACAGGAATGGGAAATTAGATACCCTTTTATTCTAGCATAATATCCACTGCTGCAGTGGTACTAAAAGAACGGAACCCAGAACTTAATGATGCACATTAGGAGCATCAATGTGGCAGCACTTGTAACTGATAAAAGTCTCCATGCTACGGTTGCAATCGGGACATTTCATTGTGTCCGGGACCTTCCCGGTAGAGCCTGGAATATCAAGGCGGCAGCAAGGTGTAAGGCGAATCTTCCCATGGTATGTTGTGAAACAAAACTCAAAGCCTTTCTCTCTCACTTGTCCCTTCCATTTGTCAAAGTCCTCTATCACCTTCAAAATTGAGATACCATGACCAGCGACAACCAAAGAAGACCCCTTGCTGAGCACAGCCCATCCACTTTCATTTTTGTAAGAAAGTAGCTTTTGGATTTCTAGTGTGGCTGAGTCGGCCTGCTTGTGTATCTTGGTGTGGAACAGGCTTTCTACTCCGGTCCAGAAGCGCCATAGAATGCCAAAGTCATCTTCTCCCTTGCTGTCTTTACCCACACAAAACAACTTTATGTTAATCTTTGCTTCTTTCAAGACGAGATCATTTGCAAGAGCAGTTGCTTTCTCTTTGAATTGTTTCATCCAGTCTTTGTCTTTGCCTCCATAGAAGAAAATGTAGTCATCCTCTTTCTGTTATTAAACCACCAAAACTTGCTTTGTCATGAAATTTATATCATAGATTCAAATACGGGTAATGTCAGAGGGACCCTAAATGTATGGCTTTGGTTCAAATTGCATGCATGCAATGTCATTGATAAATGTATGGCTTTTGTTGGAATTATTAATTAAAAGGAACTTACAGCGTCGGGTGGAGTCGGATAAATCTCTCTGATTAAATTGCCAAACCATTCGCGAGACTTTGAGATTTCTTTTTCTGTTGCTTCTGTGAAAGGGAAAGCCTTGGGTCCCCATACCCGAATCATGTGGAATGCGTTGTAATGTTCAACCTTTCCTTGTGGGCTCATCACCACCAATGTAGGCTTACCCTTGAAGTTCCACTCCTCCTTGATGAACCTGATACCAGCTATGGGTGCAGAAATCTGCACTGTGTACCACGGCATCTTGATCCTGAGGGTGTCGAACTTCTTTCGCAGCTCGTCGGTCCACTGCTCGACGATTGGAATCCACACAATCTTATGCTGGTCCTCTCTCTTAATGAACTCATAAATCGGTTTGAGGATGGAAATGTCATCGTCAGTGATTTCTAGGCTCGAAAGGAATAGTAGTATGTTTTTCTTCCTCAGGATGTCGATATCAACCTGTTTAAACAATTAGGCCACCACAATTTCACTCTATTTAAAACCTAATATACTTCTTAAACAACAATTTGTAAGGGCAGTAGAGCAAACCGTTTGTTTAGTAGAACCATCAATCAGTGGCTGAACATTGTCTTTGCTAAAGATCAGGGCCTTGAAAACCTCCTTGATTTCAGTAGGAGTTCGAAAGATTTTCCTTATCCTCCGGTAAGCTTCTGCGTCCTCTGTGGATTATACAGAAAATTACTTTCTTCAGCATTTCATTAATTGTACAACATATGATATTAATATGACTCCTAATGAAGGATCTGCAAGTAATTACACACCAACTTGTTTTCTACAAATTCTCAGATGTATGTTAAGCTTGTTCAGGATGAAATGGATTTTTTGAGCGTACGGGACTAGGTCATGCTCATGCTCCTTGTCCCTGAAACAAAGGCAACCATGGTCATATACTATTTTGAAGTACTAAACAAATATTGAATTTTTTTTGGTCAGATATCAATTAAGAATGAAGAGTTGACGTACTCATCACTGGTGAGAATAGTGACCTTAGTTGCGCAAGCAACAAGAGTCACAATAGCCCAAAACGCATCCACTGGAATATGTTCCATTGCTAATGCCAACTCCGGCACATCCTTTGGATCGTAACTGGAAAGCTTTTCGAACTGATCGAAGATCCCGATAACTTGCATTGTAACCTTGATCAAGTTGTTAAGCTCAAGCACTGCTTGCCTTCTTTCTTGCAGGTTTGAGGGCTTGAGGAGGAAAGGGACTCTCTTCAGGATTGAAATTGATTTGGCAAGTCGGTCCGATTCCTGAGCCTGGGCAAGGAGCCAGAACTCCCCATATTCCATAGCAAAAGCTGCCAGAGTCAGCACTGCCTTTGCTTCCCATGAATAGTTTGACAGCTTGTTCAGTATTGCAAGGGCAGTTTCATGGGCAACTTTCTCACCAGGAGGTTTGCATTGCATCTGAAAATTTCAAGTATTTAATAGTTTTAATATGAAAAATACGAAAGCAAACAATAAAATAAAAAATAATAATAATGTATGTACATGAAAATTGTTACAAGCAATATAAAAAAAATTTATTTATTTTGTGAGGTAATTACCTCGCTGGCTATGGACTTAAGTGTGCACAATGGTGTACTGTAGTTGGCTTTGAGGGGATTCTCCTCTATGTTTTCCTCATGCACTTGGATACCCTGCAACAACCCACAAGTTTACGTAGCAGCGCTTTGGATATTAATAATAATTAATAATGATCAATGGTATGATAATATAACAGATTATATATATAAAATAATAATAATTAATAAGAATATTTGTGATAAAGTACCTGCATAATTTTGTCGACAGTTCGGATTGCATGCTTGAGGATGTTTTCAACAATTTCGAAAAGAGAATCCTCATCAAAGGAAGTATCAACATTGACATGATGAGTTGCATAAATTTGGTCCAAGATTTTCTTATCAGACATGGAAAACAGGCTAGCCTCAACTTTGAAAAATAAATTTTTGGTGAGGTCGCCTAGCATGATGATGACTCTTGGGGATTTCAAAGGCTATAAGGCTAAAGAACGGGTATTGGTTCGTAGCTTGATGTGTTGGTGCAGCATCCTTGCAATATGCCTGCCCTATTTATAGCCATATTCAGTTTGCACTGGTCTAAACTTGTCCCAAATAAAATATTACTCCCCACGTTATCACCATGTGAAGCTACTGAAACTGAAAGAGACAATAAGGTTGAAAACAACAGACAAAAGGCCATCACAAATATCACAGTGGACACGTATATGTAAATGTACCTCGTCACATTACAAAAAAAAAAGGTTTATGTACACATTTCAGATTGTAATTTGTCTATAAGGAGTCAAGTATATATTTTCCTATCAAAATCCCAAATAGTAGGAACAGTACTTGAGTAAGGAGTCAAGTATTTTCCTATCTGAACTCTGGAACAAATATAGAACTTGGGTTCTAATTGTGTTAAAGAGGTTCAATATCATTTTGAAGGTTAAAAACAGAACTCACGTAATTGCTTCACCACAAAGACAATATAAATATAAATGCATAATCACATAATATAGAAAATAATTCAATTTGAAGTATTATAGAACTTTTCATGACTTTTTTTTTAACTTTCATATTGCACCTCCGGTTAACTATCACACTCACATTTTCATTCTCCCCCCTATAGATTAGTCGTGTTCACATAAATCATGCATTTTCAATTAGATATTCCAACTACTCTAATTGGGTGTTTTAAAGTATGATGCAAGAATGATGACAAGTGTCATAAGATTAGCTATTGTGTATATATTAATTCTTTCTTGTTTAAAAAAATTAAATGGCTTTGGACAGATAATCAATCAGAAATGATTGACATGGTCTGAAAGAGAAAAGCCCTACAATTAATTCTACCAGATTTTAGATTATAGAAACACATTGGTCAGTTTCGTTGATCCCACTTGGGCGCTTACAGTCTTGTCTAATAATTTAAAAATTCCCACTAAACTAACCATGGCTGACAAAGTGTGAATGTTTATGTACCTCGTATTTTGAAAATTGAACATGCATGATTAAATATAAAGACACCTGATTAGCGTACTAAAACAGTTTACTCTCTTTTTCTGTGCAGATCAGAAGATCATGAAATATATTTGTGCATGTATTATTAATGTACGCAACTCCACCACTTTTGTACATATGTGGCGAGTCGTCCGACGTCATCCATTTCGTTGTTGCCTTACGTCATTTGTCTTTTTTTCAATTTCTTATATCACCGTTCATACTTACGTGTTAATTAGTGGCTTCTTAGAAAACAGAACAATAAAATATAGGATATGAATTGTGTACATCAAATCATCAAACCCCAAATTGAAATTAGGATGCAACAAAATGAAACAATATATTAGAGCAATTGGTATAAAGGGGGTGTCTTATACGTTTTAAAACATTTATAGGAAAAGTATGGATTTAGCCGAGTTTTTGAGGGCCTAATGTGAAAGTAAAGAATTAAATCTCTTTCTATTGCTTTATAATTTTTTATTATTAAATACATCCAAATTTTTATAGACTCGTAAAAAATTCCGATTGACTACGTATATGAACTTTTTAAAAACTTCATTAAAATCCAAAAAAAATCCTGTATTGATTCTTCAACATAGAATACAATACAGACCCACATTATTTGCCCAAGAACCCCAACAAATTATAAAGATTAATCTACAGTATTTTAAATGTCCAGATGTGTTGTGTATTCCCGTTGGCCACTAATTGTTATTATTATCTCCAATTAAGCATTCCCACTAACTAAACCATAATTTTCTTTTATGTCTTCATATTCACATGGCATCGCTTAGCAGTCTTAAATAATAAAATATATTGCTGCTGCAAAACATATCCCGACTCTTTCTGGGTAGATCCGATCAAAAGATCGTGAAATATATATTCTGTACACTTGTATTTTCTTTCATTCATCAATGACCATTTCACTGTTGCAACGTGTGAATATCATGCACGTCGGCACTTGTTAAAGATAAGATTAATTACCAGACCAAAAAAAAAGGTAAGATTAATTAGTGGAGTAGTATGACTATTTGTTTTACTTTCACACTGGTTATTAGTTTATACCACAAACACTGTTATGAAATTTGCATGATGTCATACCTTAATAGGGCTAATAGGGCCGAACTAAAAATTTTTCAATGAGTGGGCTAGTTAAAGTTATTAACTTCAAATCTAATGATAATTTTTCTTTTGGTATTTACATTTTTTATAAGTTTTCTAGAAATAAAAGTATACATTAAATCATATAAATCACGCTAATTACAAACACAAGAAAAAATAAAATTAGAGCCATATAATTCACCAAAGGGTGAATTTCATTTAGAAAAATGCTTCTCTTTTGGAGATAAATTAATGGAAAAAGATTAAAATTGATGTTGGGACAAACTTTGACACCAAATACAAATGTGGAAGACCTTTGACTATGCCTATTAGTGTTGAAAGGTATGAAAATGTATATATTTTTATTTATTTTTAGTTTAAAAAATTAGGATATATATATTGCATTTGTTTTTTTTTTTTTCCCAAACCTTCCCTAGGCTGAGGGCAGCCCTTGCACTGGTTCCACCCATTAATATGCAGCTAAGGGAAGAGAATAGTCAAATGAGTATCTTTGAGGATGCGTCCTTCAGAGAGTTGGGTGCGGATTTGTTAATGAATTTTAATTTTAATCCTTAGATAACTTGGGCGGCTGAGATGTAAAATTAAGGGTTATATACAGTTTTGCCCCATGAACTATACCATAATTGTCAATTTTCCCCTTAAATTTTTTCTCCAGTAAATTAAGGTAAATTCTAGACAATGCATATATACACCCTGTGCACGTAAATATTGTATTTACATTTTCACATAATATTAATTGAAGCGGAATGCGAGAAATGCGTGTACTCTAAATGTAGAGGCTCGCAATCCGTGAAAAAAAAAAAAAAAAAAACACCCAATAACCTAGCTAGTCCTCCTACCCAGCAATACCCGTCACAAACATACTACAAACTATCAGCACTTTCACTTCCTTTTTCTACTGCTAAAATCTTGTAGATGTGAGATTGAGATTGGGTTCTTTTTCCACATATAATTGATTGATAAGGTTCAACTCTAAAATTAATTGGCAATAAGTAAGTGATAAGCTCGTTTAAAGTCCCTTAACTTTTCATTGTGACGTATAAATTAAAAGAAGAACATGAGTGAGCGACCATGAAAAATTTGCGGTGAAATATGTTTAAACGTAACTTTATTGAAAAGATTAACATAATAGGATTGCAATTTTCCAACATGCAGTACTTGAAACAAAAACAAGCATTGTGGGCATCACAATCACATTACGAACGTAATGGCTGCCCATTATTTTATCAAATGAAGACACGAACTCAAATGAAAACAACATGCATTCTTAACCCTTGCTGATCTCTCGGTGATCTTTTTGTTTCATGGTGCGGAGCGCGCAAGTAATTACCAAGTGATCGGAGGCGCCTACTTCTTGACATGGCAGCACTTATATCTAACAGATATCTCCATGAGATTGCCACACTCGTAGCAGATCATGGCCGCTAAGGTGCTTCGTGCTGCACTTGGGATGCTAAAGCAGCTGCAGACGTGACCAATTTTTACAACCTCCTCCTTATGCTGTTGCTCAAAAACTTGTCCAAAGTTTTCTATTGTTATTGTTACTTGCTGATTCCACGTGTAGTATTTCTCCAGGACCGTATAGATTGTCGAACCGGCACCAATGGTCACGATCCTACGGCCTTGGATGAGCACAGCCCATCCACTCTTGTCATCTTTGTAGGAAAGCAGCTTTTGAACTTGTCTTACCACGTCGTCAATCTGCTTGCTGCTAACCTTGATATGGAACATGGTTTCTATGGCGGACCAGAAGGTGTTAAAGCTGTCATCACCTGCATCATTATTTGCATTCTTCTCCACATGATATAACTCAAGAGAAATCTTTGATCTCTTTAGGATGTCATCATTTTTAAGGGCACTTGCTTTCTCCTTGAACTGATTCGTCCAAACTGAATCCCCTCCGTAGAAGAAAATGTACTTCTCCTGCTTGATCTGTTGGTAACAGAAATGTAAATGTAGAGTCAGTCGATGTTTACATTTAAGAAATGTGCGACCTTCACCGCACGATTCAATGACCATAATACTAATTTATTAAAGTTCTCCTTTAAAGATCATCCATATTTCAGAAAAGAATTAACGTACCCATTCGGTTACAGATGTGTGAATCCCGTCTATTACCGCGGTAAACCATGTATCTCGGAGAGAAAGTAAGAGTTCTTCTTCTTTTTTCTGGTCGAAAGGGAAGGCTTCTTTTCCCCATATTGAAATCATGCGCAGAGCGTTCGAATGCTGGAGCTCACTTTTTGAGTTCAACACCACCAGCATAGGCTTGCCATGGAAGTTCCAATCTTCCTTGATGTACTTGATGCCTGCTATGTGGGCACCAGCCTGGCCTACTGTGTACCATGGCATCTTAACCCTCAGGGTCTCAAACTTGACTTGCAGCTCTGTAGTCCATTTCTCCACAACAGGAACCCAAACAATCTTGTACTCGTTACTTTTCTTTGTAAAATCATATATGGTTTTGAGAAGAGAAATATAATCTTCTGATATATCTAGGCTCGAAATGAACAATAACACATTTGTCGTCCTTAGGACGTCGATGTGAACCTGTTTAGATAATATTAATGAATTCAGGATCTTGATACATTCTATATATGGTTATTCATTCAAATTCAAAAGAAATATGTGCTATGATCAAGAGAGCAAACCGGTTTCTTAGTAGAACCATCCAAAATGGTCGTGTTGACATTATCCTTGAAAAAGATCAGGGTCTTCATAACCTCCATAATCTCAGTAGGAATTTGAAAGAGTTGCTTCAGCTTCATGTAGGTCTGTAGCTTCTCTGTATTAAATAAGACAAAAAAGGAATGTCAGCATTGCATTACAACTTACAAGAGCAACGTATAACCTTTCCTTGTGAGTTTTCATCATGCAACCTACCTATTTCCTCTTTGCAGATCAGATCTTAAGATGTAGTTTGAGTTTATTGAGGATGATTATGATCTTATGAGCATACTGGACAAGATCGGGTGTGTTCCCCCTGACATGAAGGAAGCAAAACAGTTATACTATGTACAAATCAGTTGCTTCATACATATACTGTTTTGGATGATGTACATGTTATTCGATTCGACTGTCAGTCTAAACAATTGAGTAAGGTACATGATGTATAAGCAAGGAGAAGATGGATGAAACTTACTCATCACTAGTAAGGAGGGTGATATTAGTGGCGCAAGCTACAGTTGCAATGATACACCAATAGACATTCACTGAGATATCTTTCCTTGCACTTGCCAAGATTTCTCTCAACTCCTTTACCTCATTATAAGTAATGGACAGCTTCTCCAACTCAAAGATGCAATCAATGACTTGCAAGGTGGACATTATCACATTGTTGAGCTGAGCAACTGCTTGGCCTCGTTGCTTGAGGTTTTCAGGCTTGAGAAGGACTGGTACTCCCTTGAGGAATGCCACGGACTTGGCAAGTTGGTCAGATTGTTGATGCCGGGCAGTGAGCCAGAACTCACCATATTCCAAAGAAAAAGCAGCCAGGGCCAGCACAGCCTTCGCTTCCCATGAATACTTTGACACCTTGTTAAGTATTTTCAGCGTAGCATCGTGGGCATTCTCTTCACCTGGAGCCTTACATGGCACCTGAAATGTCATATTTAATTACTATGATTATTAGTTAAATATGTATTAATATGGATAGAATTCATATTGTCCTAAAAAATGAAGAAAGCATCTATACACACACACACATAGATTCATAGGGCTTGGGTTTAGTGGTATTTATTGTCCCAAATTCTGAGTTCCTTCTCCCAATTGATAAAATGAAATTAATTAAAGAATCAAACCAATAAGGAAATTATAATGCAATGAAATTACCTCGCGGATTATGGACTTTAGAAGGCACAATGGGGTGCTGAAGCTGGGTGCAATAGTTATTCCATCCCTAGTGTCAGCATACACTTGGGTGGCCTGCAAAAGAAGTCACAAGCAATAAATTACAACCCCTTCTACTTTCCTTGTCCGATTGGTTTGATATATGATCCTAGATGAAACCCTAACCCACTACTTCCGGAATCTTCACACGCCCCACCCACTGAAGTTATTTTGGGAAAGCATGGTCCTCGTTCACGTCCACAGAACCGGAAATTCTTCCTTCTTCTATTTGATTACGGATTTGATCCATGGAAAATGTATCATAATTGGTTCTTTTTCTTTTGTTGCACTTGAATTGTTTGATGCAATTTTATTGTGTTTGTAGATGCATATTCGATTGATAAAATGAAAGGGTATATTATGTTGGAAAAGAATGTACCATTGGTTTGAGGTTGAGCATTATTTGGATTAAATAATCAAATACTCCAATGGGTTCCGTGACATTTGTAGTCTGTACACGTTAAATCAAATGAAAGATGTACACATTGTAATGTGCAAATTGTAGAATATATATATGTTCCCTAATGTGCCAAAAAAAAACAATTAAGAGCCATGTCGAATCACAACCAACATCAAAATCATGATACTAGCGCTGGTGATTTGCACCGTGAGTAAATTATAATTTTTATTTGTACGTACCTTGTGGTCAATATTATCAATGATCTGCTTTGAACACTTAATGATGCTCTGAGTGATGGAGAAAAGGGAACGCACGTCAAAGGAATCATGCTCATGACTAACTACATGAGTGGCATAAATGCCTTCCAAAATTTCTGTGTCACTCATGGCAAACAGGCTCTTCTTAGCAACCTCCATTGCTTCATCACTTGCAGTAGCACTAGTCACTACTTGAGAGACCGAGATCGAGACAGAGACCATGGTGATGGCTTGGTTGGAATGGAAACTCTAGGTATTGGGGTTTAAGGCGCAGAACACAAAATAACTAGGATGGCTTGTCTTTGCAGTGAGTTCAGTGCCTGCCTACAGCCCTATTTATAGTCTTCTAAGCTGATTCCCGTTGGACACCTTAATTAGGTCAGTAGCGTATAACAAGGATCCACCATACTATTTTATTATGCTCCCGATTTGCCATATGATATGTTTCACATTGGATCCAACTTCTTTTATATTTATTAATGCTTTCTTGTTTCAAAAAATTAAGGGAGTTTCACTAAAATACCCAAAATGGGGGCTGAAATTATAAAAATACCCAACACCCAAAACACTTTATAAACATACCCAAAACTCATCATTACACACACTCAAAACCCATTTATAAACATACCCAAAACTCATCATTACACACATACCCAAAACCCATTTTGGGTATATTTCTATGTTTAAATAGTGCTTGAGTATTTTTATAAATACATGTCTAGGATTGGGTATTTTTATAAATATCTGACAGAGGATAATCAATCGGAAATAATTGACATATAGACTTAACAAATAGATGGTTTGAATCGAAGAAACAATAATAAATATCGCTCACATTCTAATATAATTTATATCGCTCGAAGAAACAATAAAATAAAATAAAAAAGACTCTACATATCTCGTGTTTTGACTCTTGAATGAAGAATACAGTATATATCACGATGCCAGTTTGTGTTTGCAACAAAATGTTATTATTATTTTCTCCCGTCCAGTTAAGCATTCCCACTGCCTAACCATCCATGGCTGAGAAAGTATTTAATGTTTATGTTCCTCTTATTTGGAAATAAGAACATGCATGCATGATTAAATATAAGACACCTGATTAGCGTACCAAAACAATTTACTCTTTTTTTCTGTGTAGATCCGAAGATCACGATATATATATTTGCACTTGTCGTCTAACGTCATCGATGTCGTTCCTGCCTTACGTCACCACTAATTTTTTGTTAAAATATCCATGCGAGAATTCGTACTTACGTGTTAATTGGTGGCTTCTGATAAGTTTTTTGGCTTATTATCACAAAAGGTCCCTAAGGTTTACGAAACTATCAGATTGCATCCTTAATGTTTTTTTGTGTCACTCGTGGTCCTCAAGGTTAGTATGTATAATCACAAATGGTCCTTACCGTTAGGTTCCGTCAAAAACTCCGTTAGTTTGCTGACGTGGCATATATACATATCACAAAACATCCCTAAGGTTTACACATCTATCACAAATGGTCCTTGCGAAATTTTTTAATTTTTTAATTTAAAATTCATAACATTTTGGTTTTCTTTTTTATATTATTTAAAAATATATATTGTATTTTAAATACATATGACACTATATTTTTGAAGATGTGGGCTCCACATATATGCCACACCAACAAACTAATGAATTTTTTCATTTTTAAATTTTATGAATTTTAAATTATTTTTTAAAAACTCCATTAGTTTGTTGATGTGGCATCTATGTGGAGCCCACATCTAAAATAATATAGTGTCATGTGTATTTAAAATACAATATATATTTTAAAATAATTTAAAATTCATAAAATTTAAAAAATAAAACCAAAATTTTATGAATTTTAAATTTAAAAAATTTAAAAAATTTGCAGGGACCATTTGTGATAGGTGTGTAAACCTCAGGGATGCTTTGTGATATATATATATGCCACATCAGCAAACTAACGGAGTTTTTGACGGAATCTAACGGCAGGGACCATTTGTGATCATACATACTAACCTTGAGGACCACTAATGACACAAAAAAACATTAAGGATGAAATCTGATAGTTTCGTAAACCTTAGGGACCTTTTGTGATAATAAGCCAAGTTTTTTTTATAGTGGAAATGGCTTCCGATAAGTGGGAACGAGAATAAAATATAGGATATTAATTGTAGGCATCAAATCATCAAAGCCCAAGTAGAAATTAGGATGCAACAAATGAAACAATAAAATAGCATTTGTGAATAATTAGAAATTTTTAACGGGTGAGCTAGCTAAAGATGTTAACTTAAAATTTAATGATTAAGGACATAACATAACTATGCTTTTAAAATTCCAGCCCAAAAAAAATTATAGACCAGCCATCCAATTGAATAACCTACCCTTCCAAGGAATTCTTTGCTTGCACTGCATTGCACGTGGAGAATAAAAGAGAGAAAAGAAAGCTTCAGCATGTCTCTAGTATACAACACAAAAGGGGGAAAAAGAGAAAACTCATATTGCACCCTTGCACACGTAAAGGAATGCTCTTGTTGCCGTTGCACTCTGCCTCCTCCAATTTGTGAGGAGCAACCTCATTCTAAACCTCAAAGAGTTGAATTTGAAAGTGTAAGAGCTTAGTCTCAAAGAGCCAATTTTGATCATACTTATTCTCTTGAGTGTGATCCAGGATTACGTTCTCAAAAATCGGGTTCAAAACAAGATAAGTGATGAGTTTCTTGCTGATTGTATGTCACTTCACATTAAAAGAGAATTTGATGATAATATAGATAAAAAAAATCAATAATTAATGATTTTAATTCTATGAAGACTAATTAAGGCTCATTATCCTCCCCCCTCCCCTGCGCGCGACTAGGTGTATTATTCATTTTTTGTTATCAATGAAATTACATCGTACTATCGAGTTTTCTATATATTTAGTATTTTTATATGTAAGGTAAATTTAGCCTAGTCAAGTTTGAAATCTTGGGTCCGTCCCTGCTAATAATCAATTTTTTTTGTACTTGTCATTTATGTAGTCTTTTTATAAATAAAAGTATACCTTAAATCATATAAATCACACTACTTCATAACTTCATTGACTAATTTTCAATAAGCTTTAACATAAAATAAATACATATTAAATGTGACCAAAAAACACTTCAACAACATAATTAAAAGTGTACCTATTCAAGTTGTATCATACAATCTTTGAGAGAATTGAATTTTTTTGTTATTGCATTTGAATCAATAAACATTTTTTTTATTAATTATAGATAGAAACTCGTTCTCCATTTTGTTGCTAAGAGCTGTTTTAACAAGTTAGAGAGTTAGGGTTAAGCACTTTACCCTTATAGATTAGTCCTGGTCGGTTGATTGACAATAATGCATTTTCAATTAGATATTCCAACTACTCTAATTAGGTATTTTAAAGTACGATGCAAGAATGATGACAAGTGTCATGAGATTACCTATTGTGTATGCTGTACAAGAGATTTCTGAGTCTAATACAATAACAAGGATCCACCTCATTTCAAATTGGATCCAACTTCTTTTATATATTAATTCTTTCTTGTTTAAAAAAATTAAATGGCTTTGGACAGATAATCAATCGGAAATGATTGACATGGTCTGAAAGCGAAAAGCCCTACAATATTCTAAATTTTTGTTAGTGTCCGACTTTGTAATAGTAGATATAATTACTTATCTTTTTGAGAAAACAAAAAATAAAAGACATACAAATCTCGTGTTTTGACTCTTGAATATAGAATACCGTAGAACATACAAGTGTCAGTTTATCTCTGCCTCAAATTATTATTAATATTTTCTCCAGTTAAGCATTCCCACTAAACTAACCATGGCTGACAAAGTGTGAATGTTTATGTTCCTCGTATTTTGAAAATTGAACATGCATGATTAAATATAAGACACATGATTAGCGTACTAATTAACAATTTACTCTCTTTTTCTGTGCAGATCAGAAGCTCGTGAAATATATTTGTTCATGTCTTATTTAAGTACACAACTCCACGTTTGTGCATATGTGGCGAGTCGTCCGACGTCATTCATTTCGTTGTTGCCTTACGTCATTTGTCTTTTTTATAAAAATTTTATGTCTTCATACTTACGTGTTAATTAGTGGCTTCTTAGAAAACAGAACAATAAAATTTAGGATATGAATTGTGTGCATCAAATCATCAAACCCCAAATTGAAATTAGGATGCAACAAAATGAAACAATATATTAGAGCAATTGGTATAAAGGGGGTGTATTTCATGTGTGTTGGGGCCTCTTACAAATTATAAATAATCAAAAATTCGAACTCACAATACATACGAAAAATAGTATATATATTAAAGACTAAAATACCCTTCAAAATGGATGGAAAATTGGATGATGTTAAAGTCAGGTGACAAATCATGGATTTTGAAAACTTAAGGTGACATTTTGCTTAAATTTTTCTTTAAGGTGACAAATTGAAACTTATATATAAGTTCAGGTGACATTTCTACAAAAATCTCATATATATATATATCACATATGTCAAGAATTATATTGCTTATTGGTTGCAATCATAATTGTCCTCAACAACGGGATAGAAAAATACATTCTGAGCAAGAAAAATTGCAAGAGATAGACAAATAGTAGCGATTTAGCAAATATCTTTAAAGTTTATCCCCCATTAAACCCAATAGAAAGAAAAAATCAAAATTTCACAAACTAAAAAAAACCTTAGGTCCCTTCATGCATTCATATCATACATGAAAAAATATTTTATATAAAAATATTGACTAAGTATGAAAAATAGTTTTTCGGAATAATCATTTTCTCAAGATAATTTTTCGGCTAAAGTATGGATTTAGCCGGGGGCTGATTCTGTGTTTTTGAGGGCCTAATGTGAAAGTAAAGAATTAAATCTCTTTCTATTGCGTTATATTTTTTATTATTATTAAATACATCTAAATTTTTATAGACTCGTGAAAAGTTCCGATTGACTACATATATGAACTTTCTAAAAACTTCATTAAAATCCAAAAAAATCCTGTATTGATTCTTCAACATAGAATACAATACAGACCCACATTATTTGGGAAGGTCTATGCCCAAGAACCCCAACAAATTATAAAGATTAATCTACAGTATTTTAAATGTCCAGATGTGTTGTCTAGATACAATCAGAGACAAGTACCCGTTGGCCACTAATTGTTATTATTATCTCCAATTAAGCATTCCCACTAACTAAACCATAATTTTC